AAATTGCTACTCAAAACTAGCCCAATCGCGTTTCGAGGGGGGTCCACCGGTAAATATCGCGTTCCAGGGGGTAAAATACATGTTTTTTGGAGGGGTTCACACTGTGGCGTGCCAACTTGATGCTTCCTCTGAAGACTGCTTAAATGTGTTCGACTTGAAGCAGCGCTGATTAGACAGATTTGTGTGTCATCAAAGTACTGCGAGAGCTATAAGAGAGCGCGGACGTCTCCTTATGCTTTCTCTCGCCGTACTTTGATGTCATACACTGATCGATCTTCAAGTCGAACACACCTCTTTACTCTCGCGTGTCACGTGACCGAGTGTAATCGCAGCCTCTGCGATTGAAAAACCGCGTTTTTTCATATCGTGATATTATCGCAAATGCAATTAATCGTTCAGCCCTAGACTAAATTTCTGGGAAAAAAAGTAACATACTTATTATAGGGTAAACATGACAAAATATAGTCTCTCTCTCTCTCACACACACACAAACACACACACACATACTCCCTTATTCACCAAACTCCAAGTCACCGAGTCTCATTCACTTTCTCATTTACTCACTCATGAGCGCCTTTGACCGTACCCAACGTGGAGATCACAAGCACAGCCGAGTGCTCAGTGTTTGACTGCCTTGAGCAAAGACTGTAAAACACACTCTCTATCATACCGCTGCAGCTATAGATGCTGCTACCAGTGGTCCAGTTTATCTTCCCTTCCCAGCGAGACTCAACCCAACTTCACAAGCTATTTTTAAAGGCATGAACCTGCAGTAAAACAGGGGAGCAGCGCATAAACATACCAACAGTGCTGATGCGAAGGTTGCTCATGAATTTCAATAAGCCCTGAATATCATTGTTACTTATTATTGCAGTCAAGCTCAGACAGAGGAAGCTAGTTTACCTAATTTCTGCCTTTTCTCTCTCCTGATCTCTCTTTTCTCCAGCTCAACTGGTTCAACAACACAAAGGACAGAGCTCTACTCATCACAGACAAGCATATCTACAGGCTGGAACCTAAAAAACACTTTAAAGTGCAAAAACGAATATCGCTTGATGCAGTAAGTATTTAGTATGCAGTCACCCCAAAAAAAAAAAGCAGCGATTTTATGGAAGAACCATTTTTGGGTCCTCATCCTCAAAGAACCTTTCAGTGATTAGTTCCTAAAAGAATAGCTCACCTAAAAATGCTGAAAATGTACTCTCAGACCATCCAGCATATAGATGTGAGTTTGTTTCTTCATCTGAACAGATTTGGATAAATTTAGCATTACATCACTGTCTCACCAATAGATCCTCTGCAGTGAATGGGTGCCGTCAGAATGAGAGTCCAAACAGCTGATAAAAACATCACAACAATCCACAAGTAATCCACACCACTCCAGTCCATCAGTTACTGTCTTGTGAAGTGAAAAGCTGTTTGTAAGAGTTTGTAAGAAACAAATGCATCAAGACGTCTTTAACTTCAAACTGTTGCTTCCAGCTAAAATCCTCTATCAATAATATTGCTTTCTCTAGTAAAACACTTGTCACTTGTCTGAATCAGGAGAGAAATATGCACAAAATCAAGCACTGTTTACAAGTGAAAACGGTTCTAAACTAATATGTGAGTGGATTTTGATGTGAGAGGACAACAGGGGATGGACTTTTTCACTGGTGGAAGTGTTATTATGGATATGGACTCGTATTTTGATTTATTTCTTACAAACACACAGCTTTTAAGACGTTAATTGGTGGACTGGAGTGGTGTGGATTACTTGTGGATTATCGTGATGTTTTTATCAGCTGTTTGGACTCTCATTCTGACGGCACCCATTCACTGCAGAAGATCCACTGGTGAGCAAGTGATGTAATGCTACATTTCTCCAAATCTGTTCCCATGAAGAAACAAACTAATTTACATCTTGGATGGCCTGGGGGTGAGTACATTTTCAGCAAATTTTCATTTTTGGGTGAACTATTCCTTTAAAAGAACCATTTTTTAGTGTGAAGAACATTTTAAAGGTCTAAAGAACCCTTTTCCACTATAAAGAACCTTTTGTACAATAGAAATGTTTTATGGATGTTGAAAGTATTTCCATCAATGAACCATCAATGCCAATTAAGAAACTTTATTTTTATGAGTGTGAAATGAAGCCTTAAAAAGAAAGCAGACACGTCTTGGTATCTGTCATTATCTGGGTTTGTTTTTGTTTTATGTAACTGTGCAATGTGGGTCAGTGCATCTGTCTGCTGCAGTCTCGCTGTCTCCTGCCTCTTTTGGACTTGCTACCAACTACCAACTGGTCTCTCTTATTAGATGACAGCACTAATACTCCATATGACCAGCCACGTCAGATGGTTTAACAGGGTCATTCACAAACTTCTGGCTGTGTCGGAGTGAATTCAGTGACCAGAACAGTCTGTGTGTGAGGTGTCTGACCTACATTCTGTATACGTTCTCAGATGCGATACAGTGAGAGAGGGATTTGGACACACACTGCAGCACTGCAGTCTGAACTCCCCTTCACAATCACATACACACACATTAAACCTGCAATTTTATCCATATCTGTATGTTTCACACATCTCTAGCGGAAGCAAGACCAGACGTCTCAGAGAGAGAGAGGTAGAGATAAGCGATTGGGCAGAACAAACTGCAGTATAGCACTGAATCTCGCCAAATATGCACACATACTCTTCAACACATAATTTTCATGCTACAGCTGTCATTATGATGTTTACAGATTTGAATATAGCACAAGAAAAAAAATTTATATATATATATAAATATATATATATATATATATATATATTTCTGTCATGAGTTAGACCTATCGGACTGCGCCATCTAGAGTTTCATGCCAGAACTCTGTATAAGTGTGTATATACTATATATATTGCAGTTTGTATACTAGATCAATCTCACAAAAATATCAATCATATTTCCAAATTCTAAAAAATGCATAAAACATATTTTAAAGAGCATTATTAATATTTGCATTGTTACATTATTTTAAAGATAATTAAGCATATGTATACCCTAAATTCTTATGAATGTAATGCATCTGGACTTTTCACTTTATAAATTCTTTTTTAATTCTAATTATTCTCAATGATTATTCTCAATAAATAATGTGATGTATCCACATGCAATTTAGTATATTGATGTAACTGTCACGATGCACACACACGAGGAACGAGGAGACGCTGGAGAATACTTTACCAAGACTTTATTTACAGGAACCAAGGGAGACGAACACAGGAAGACCTTTAACGGAAGACGTACAACAGCGGACAGAGAACTAGGGACTGGGAACACTTTTTATACACACAGGAGGAGGGGCTGACGAGACACACCTGGGATCAATGGAAATTAAACATGGGAAACACCTGGGAAGAAATCAACTAAATAAGGGCATAGGAAGGCACATGGGGAGCAAGACACACACAAAACATGGAACAGAGTCTGACAGTAACTGTGGTAGTTTTTTTTTTTTTTTTTATGTTTTAAGGCCAGGGTAAATTAAAGGTAGCACAACAAATACTATTAAAATGATTGTACTATAATTTATAATAAAAATTATTACTATACTATATGAACTATTATAGTTATATAAGTATTATAGTCTAATATTTTTAATTAGATTATATTTTAATTTTATTTTTATATTTTCGATTTTCAGTTTATTTTTTAAATAGTTTTAGTAATTTATTTTTGAGTAATTGAGTTATTTAAACATTATTTATTTTAACTTATTTCGTTTTTTATTTTAATTCATTAGAAAATAAAGGGAAATGAGAAATGTTCCCATGGCAGCTAGCTGGAATATTTTATTTATTTTATTGTTTTATAAATATATTTTGTTTCAATTCTTTTTTTCTTTTTTTTTTTGAAGTAATTATTATTATCATTATTATTTATGGTTGTAGTTTTAGGTTTTGCTAACTATAATAACCCTAGTACTACCATGATGTATAAATGCTTTACAATTTAAATAATGAGAATATGGATGGGATTTTGCTTAATTGTCATGAAAATAATGTCACAATGCAAAAGACGTCTTAATGGACCTAAAGTAGGCTGCAATTTTTTAAAGCAATATATATATATATATATATATATTCTTTTTTATTTTGGACAGCAGTTTGACCTGGACATGTCCTGACAGATTTTATGAGATTTACTCTATTATAATCTCACAGCCTCACCGGCAGCCCTGCTCCTAATGGGTCACCATCCAAGAGCATATTATGAACTTTCACAAGCCTCTCCGGTCAAGCCAGACCACACTGGATGGGTTCAGGCAGTCCCAGACAAGGATATTGTTTTATGACAGCCCAGTACACTGTGGTTTTAATCTCATTTCACCACAGACTGATGCATTACGGCTCTGTGCGGCACAGGGGCTGATCATGTCAGCTGATATTCTAGAGCAGCAGAAACAGAAAGGGCAACCTTACGTCCATTCACACTTACTACTATATCCTTATAACCGTATAGTTGTGCTTTGAAATCCTGTTTAAAATTATCTGCATGAATGCTATTTAGGTGTTATTTATTTGGAAATGCTTTGTGTACTCAGATATGTGTGTATCTGTTTGATTGGAACACAGTGCAGTGTTTTCCTGGCCCACCCTCATTTCTCAAAATCTCTCAGACAGCAAGGTCAGCCACATGTACCGCAGGGCACAGAATGATTAAACACACACACTCACACACACACACACACACACGCGTGTGCGTGTGTGTGTGTGTATGCACGCATGTTTGTGTGTGTTAATGTGTGTCCATCCAAGTGGGAGTAAAGAGGCTTAACGCTGCCTGATCACTCTCTTTCTTTCAGGCACAGCGGTGACCCACCTACTGCTGTTCATAACCATTCGCATTCATGTACACTCATAAACACACTGGCCTTTAATGAACCTTAAAGACCCCTTGAAATTTGTTCAGGCGGGACATATTGAAGGCTTGTTTTTTAAATAGCCAATAGGCTTTAGTTTTGTCACAGCATACTGTGCACCTACAGTGCACAATATGCAAGTATTATTTTATGTAGTCATAAAATGCGTACTGTATGCCACAATGCAGTACGCTCAAATTGATGTTGTGACTCAACAAGAAATAATGTTCTGTTATTTTTAAATGCTCTTTCCTGATTTACTTGTTTGATTGGACTGCCAAATATCAAGACATTTTACATGTATTTGGTTAAAAATGTATTTATTGTGGGATAGCACCTACTGTTTCACATACTGTTTTTAAAAAAGTAATATACTATGCAGTATGCAAACAGTAATAAGCTAGTATTCCATTCTGAACATAGCCCGTGATTTGTTACTCGCAGTGTTGTTATTGTTAACTAAAACGAAAACTATTAAAAAATAGATTTTGGTCATTTGAATAAAGCTTAAATAAAATAATGAAATGTTAGATGAAACTTCAATTTTTAATGCCACTCAGCCTAATTTTCCTTTTTGTGTGAACTAACCCTTTAAAGAAGTTAAAGGCACATGGGTGTGCATGCTCATGCAAACAGCATCCCCAGCGCCGTTTCTAATCTCAGAGTCATGCGTACCAGCCAGGCACACACACATTTTACTGACGCACAACTTCGATTGGTCACACTCTTTGAGTAACTGCAACAATCCAGTCATTCATTCACGATTATGTCCAGCATTCTCAAGGTTACTGAGTCAAACATGTGCTGAAGCGCAGGAAGTGATTGTGCTGTGAATGAGCTTTTACTCTGAGATTGCAAAGGCAGAGGAATGCCATTGGTTGGTGGAGAAATGGATATGTTAGACTCAGGAATGATGGATTTATTGGACGCAAATGCTTTGACTTCATTGTGCACCAACACATGCCATGCAATATGTTAAAAATGTTTTCATGTGTTTGTATTGCTGTTTTACACTCTCTTCAATCCCACAGGTGGTTGGTGTGAGCGTAACAAGTGGCAGTGACCAGATGGTGGCGCTACATACTACCTCTCAGGATGACTTTCTAGTGCACTTGCAAAGGGGTCAACTCAACCCAAATCAGGACCGTGTAGGGGAGTTGGTGGGCAGCCTCACAGACCACTTTACACGGTAAGAGTCCCTGCCAATAACCTCCAGCTTGCACATTTTTCAGGGACTGTGCAAGTATTTCTGCTACTAAGGCAAGCATAACTATTACTATTGTTCATTCTTTATGTTGGGGATTTAAACAGGCCTGTAGCCCTTAGTATTAGGGTCAGTCACAAGAAGCTCGTCTTTTGTCCAGATCTGATAATTTATTCAAAATTACCTTAACACTGCAATTCATACAGAAAGTTAACTGAATACACAGCTTCTATGATGAACAAGTTTTTAAAATCTGAATTAAAATTAATTTAGATATTTTTTTGGGAGGCATGAGGTAAAAAATAGTGCTTTATACAATACAGATTGCATCAAATCAACTTCACAGAGATAAACAGGAAAGTAGCAGAATCAGTTATGGAAACTCAACTATGGGAACAATTCAGATTCTACTGTAAAGCAGCCCTAAAAGACAACAGTGTCATTATTTAGCTCAAGTCAGTTCAAGGTGGAGGAGTCAAGAAGGTGGAGTGTTTCAGAGAAACTCTGAAAGCACGCTGCAGGAATCTTTAGTGAATTCTAGCCAGCCAGCAAGTGCAAGGCAGTAAGCTCATTGGCTGCATATGCAGCATGAACCAATCAGCTTGTGCCAAGTCGTTTAAAGGGGTCATATGATGCTGCTAAAACGAACATTATTTTGTGTATTTGGTGTAATGAAATGTGTTTATGTGGTTTAAGGTTAAAAAAACACATTATTTTCCACATACTGTACATTATTGTTTCTCCTCTATGCCCCGCCTTTCTGAAACGCGTCGATTCTTTCACAACGAAACACAGCGTCACACACGGTGGCCTAGAGAGTGAGCAGCGGCGGCCTAGAGTGAGCAGAGACATTTTTCTTGAGCAGCAAATCAGCATATTATACTGATTTCTGAAGGATCATGTGACACTGAAGACTGGAGTAATGATGCTGAAAATTCAGCTTTGCATCACAGGAATAAATTACATTTTAAAATGTATTTAAATAGAAAACAGTTATTTTAAATTGTAGTAATACTTTATAATATTACTGTATTTTTAATTCAAATAAAACATAACCTCATGGTGAGCAAAATAGACATTCAAAACACATAAAATAATCTTACCAACCCAAAACTTTTGAATTGTAGTGTCCAAAGAGTCTCTGGCACACGTCACTTGAACATTTATAAGTATTTACTAAATATCATGATTTGATTTTAAAGATCAAAGACCACTTATTCCATCATAACTTTGTGGTATATAGCAGCCTGGAGGACAGTTTTGTTGTAATCGCATACACACATATGCATCCATGTTGTGAGATGCTCATTCATGCGATGGTATTTCCTGGTTCCTCACATAACCAGCCCCAAGGGAGGCAATATTCGGTCCTGGGGCAGACAGCAGCTTGGTTGTGTATACATTGTTTGTGTGTGTGGCAGGTGTGGGGTGTGTGTGTCCGTCAGTGGGTGTCTGTAATCACTGCTCCTGCACGTCTGCTTTAAAGCCATTGTGCTGCCATCTGCAAGTCAATGCGTGGGGTCATGCCCCCCTTACGACATCATGAAAAGGAGACGTCAGAGGGGCCTGAGGAAGTGTGGAGGAAGGCAAATAGTGTGTGAGCATGTGTGTGTGGGGGGGAGGGGGAGTGCAGTTCACACGATCCCCACAGCGGAGACGCAGCACCACTTTCATTGCTTTCATTGCAAAAACTAGATTGAATTGTTCTGTTTCATAAAGGTCATAATGATAATAAGCACAAATATGAAGACAAGAGGGACTGTTTTGGAGCATATGTGAGGTATTTCAGTTAAACAGATGTAAAAATAACCTCTCGCCAACCCTAAACAGAAGGTGACTGTACTTTGCCAAGTAGGGCATGTTCCTGGATCAGAATGTCTTGTTGGTCCTGAAACAACATTCTTCCAAACGAACAAAGTCTTAACCCAATATCTAACCTGATTTCCATCAAAATTAGGGCAAACATTGCATAAAACTCTGCAGGTTCTGTTTGTGAATCAGTTTGCCTGTGATAATGTTCTGTAACAATAATATGTTTGGAATTGCAAAAGAATGTTATACAGATAATTCGTGGTGAAGTTGTGCATCTTTTTGAAAGATCATTGACATTGTGTCTAAACTGTAAAAATATCCTGTTCAGTTTATTGTTTTGCACCTTAAAATGTACTTATAGCCACCATGATAATACAAGAAATCCAGAACAGAAATCCACATGATGAATGTGTGTAAACATTCACTAAATAACAGAGAATGTAACATTTAAAACCCTAATGTACATTACTGATAACAAAATTATGAATGAAATTAATATACAGTATATTCATATGTCATGCAGGGGCTACAGCAAATGTCCTTTCGCCATAAATTATATGATAATTTATAGTTTTGACTTCCAAAATCCACACATTGATGGTATCTTACAGTAATTTTACATATAATGCACATCGCCATTTACAATTTTTAGAGTGAACCAGTTAAGAGGTTTTTACTGTAGCATTTATAAACTCTTTTTAAAGTGAAATTTTATAAAGACTTAATTATTTCAGAGAATTTCAGACCAACATCTCTGTAATGGTAATGTACAATATGGTAGTGGGTTTAGGTACTTAATTCTGTTGTACATTTGCATCATTTGTAAAAACTGACAAATAAACATAAAGGCTTTAAACAGTAGTAATGCACGGTGAGTAATTTTTGTAATTACAGAGACATCTCTTGATTAGCTAAATTTGCATGTTAATGTAGGCTAATCATTGGATGATATGAGATTCAACTCACGCTCCAGATCTTTCCCCAGACTACTTAATAATGATTATACGATATTTAATGTATTATTGAAATGAATAAAAATGGAGGTTGAGTTGGAATGTTGGAGGAATCCTGGATGATTTGCCACAAGAGTGACAATATATTTGCTTTGTGATTGACAGGATTAGATGAACATATCTCTCATGATCTTTCATCTCCAACTCAATTTTAAAAGAACAGAAAAATTGCTATGACCTGTAGGAGTTACATAGGTGAATTGGTGCATAAAATATGTATGAACTGTAGCAAAGCTTTTGCGAAGCTGTAAAGCTCTAAAGAATCACATGTTCTATCAACATCATCCACTAAATTTTGTCAGCCATAAAGTGTCAGTGCTTATATAATTTCTCTCATGTGTCATTTAAAATAAATTTTTTTCATGAAATGTTTTGTCAAAAAGTGTGTTTGCGCTGTTCTTCATGCACATAACAGTATTCTTCTCATTTTTCCAATCTGATCAAACCACTCTTATGATCTTGGATATAGTTTTGTAAATATTTAATGACTTTAGATTCCACATTCTCCTTTGCATGCATGCTGAGAGCTCTTGTTGATCTGAAATGTCTGTATCTCAATTCAAACAGTGATTAATTTCTGTTATCATGCCTGTCTTTAAACTCTGTGACCTTTCCCATGGGTCATTCACCCTCACCTGACTCACGCAAATATTATGACTGGGTCATGTGTGTTTGTTTGTGGAAAGGCAGTGCCAGTCCGTGTGTGTGTGTGTGTGTGTGTGTGTGTGTTGGGTAGTTTAAACCCCTCTTTAGCCATCTGTTGAGATAGCTGTGTGTGTGTGTTGGGGACGGTTTGACCAAAGGCAGTGTTGGAGTAGATTCTAGAGTGTTAGCAGAGCTTGATTGTTTCTCAAAAAATGACCAGTTGTGTATTTTATTTTACCTGAATAGATCAACGTTAACAATCAATATAGTAGGGTTACAGAAATGGCGGCCAGAAATGATCAGAATGCAGAGATGTTGAGATATAGTGTCCGCTAGAGGAACATCATAAATATTGTAAATATGAATATATTGGTCGTTGACCAGTTCATCTGACCGATCATTTTTACTTAGATTTTGGAAATAACATTAATCTGCCTGACTAATTACTTCAAATATGTTACCCCCACGTTGCCCTGGTACATTGACAATAGCCCTGTGGCCAATGATGTTTCTTCCCCTTCTTCTCACTGTTGTCAGGTTAAATCCAGCCTCATCAATGTGTATAAACTCATGCGGGACTTCCTCCGCATCCATTTGCAAAACTCTCTGAAATACAGCAAAATAACACATTGTGTAGATCAGTATACTGTAGGTCTGCTATACAGTAGAATTACATGTACAGTAAAAAGGTGTGTGCAGTACACAATACTACAGTCAGTGAACAAAACATACCACCACATATTCACGCCGCAGGACTTTCACCCTGTCTGAATTTCTTTCAAATGGCACTTTATACAGTTGTTTCATCAGAACTTGATGTTTTTTTAAGGATACGGGCTATTGTTGACAGAGAGACCTGTTGGACGTTACAGTTTTTTACGATTGTTTAAGCACAATTTTGAAAACAGGGCCCGGTTTGTCAAAACACTACACACAATTAACAACCCCACACCAAAGTAGCACAACACTTCAGATCATTTGCAAAATGGAACACTTTTGTCAAAACTATACACAACTTTATAAAAAAAATATTTTGTTACCATACGAAACACACACATTTCATATGACTTTAATCTTTTTGAACCAGTTACACACTGCTGTTGCTAACCTAAAACACTTTTAGCAAGTCTAATTCTCAGTGATTAGAGTACTGTAAATGAAGTACACAGAGAAAGTGCAACTATACAATAGTTCACCAAACACTACACAAGACCAATGCTGCAGACTGACGAAAATATCATTGATTTCTCTCCATATACCCAAATCAGTCAACATGGAGAATCACAACAAAACATGTCCCAGTTGTCATGCAACTACAGTAGTGTGCATAACACTGTTAGCTCAGCAAACAAACAAACGTAAAATACTGTATCCAGTACAGGTTACAATTACAGTAAACAACAACAACAACAACAACAACAAACATAAAAAATAATCTGAAAAAAACTGACAATATTGTACAGAAAATACTACAGTAAACATACTATACATTATCTCTTCGCCTAGCTGGATCTGGCCAGAGAATTTCATCAACATCACAAGCAATATCCTCATTAGCAAGACAACGCGGGAAGAACCGTCTTGAATGTCGAATCCATCCTTGCACAGCTGCGGCGTCGACTTGGTCACAGGCGTCCTCCATGGCCTGAATGAGGGGTACCTGAGCCTGGGGCTGGAGATCGTAAACCTTCCACCGCCATGCAGAGAAAAACTCTTCGATAGGGTTTAGAAACGGAGAGTATGGTGGAAGGTATAGTACTGTCAACTGTGGATGGTGTTGAAACCAGTTCTGGACCAAAGCAGAGCGGTGGAATGACACATTGTCCCAGATGACAGTGTATTGTATCTGGTGCATTTCATTACCTGCTGTGACGATGTGGTGCAATCGGTCCAAAAATGCGAGAATGTGAGGTGTGTTGTAAGGGCCCATTTTGGCATGACGGAGGAGAACCCCATGCTGTGAAATGGCAGCGCAAAGGGTGATGTTACCCCCACGTTGCCCTGGGACATTGATTATAGCCCTGTGGCCAATGATATTTCTGCCTCTCCTTCTTGCTTTTGTGAGGTTGAACCCTGCCTCATCAATATATATGAATTCATGCAGGATTTCCTCAGCATCCATCTGCAAAACTCTCTGAAATACAGTGAAAGACAACATTGTGTAGTTCAGGATAGGTCTAGTATATTACAGTCAATGTAAAAAAGTAATGTGTGGAGTATGCAACATCACAGTGCTAAAGTGAACAATACAAACCTCCACATACTCATGCCGCAGCCGTTTGACCCTCTCTGAATTCCGCTCAAAAGGCACTCGATAAAGTTGTTTCATTTGAACCTGATGTCTTTTCAGGATGCGTGCCAGTGTTGACTGAGAGACCTGATGGACATTATTGAAAATGGCATGGTCACCGATAATGTTTGCTTGTAGTTCTCTGAGCCTGATAGCATTATTGGCCAAAACCATGTTTATTATCTCTCTCTCTTGTTCTTGCGTGAATATGGGCCCCCTTCCTCCTTGTCGTTCCCGACCCTCAATCCTATGTAGAGAATAATACATGTAACTTACTGTACAATGTCACAGGAAGGGGTATCACAAGTGCTGATATGGTGCATACAATAAGCGGCTGATTACTGTAACTGTAGACAGATCTTCTTTTACCTGTTTTCCTGTCGAAAAGTCCTTATGACAGATGCCACTGTATATCTGCTAAGATTTGGCTGAACTCTCAGTCCAGCCTCCCTCAGCGTCAATCCGTGGTTCACAACATGGTCCACTAGTGTTGCACGAATGTCATTTGATAAGTTTGGTCCTCTTCTTCTTTGTGCACGTTCTCCTCCTGCTTCAGCTCTTCCTCTACCTCTACCTCTACCTC